TTTAGTTATCTCTGGAATGATGTAAAAACGAGCGTTCTTGCTCATTTTGCTTCCGAGAAACATGCAAAACGGGACGGAAAACATGAAATTTTGCACTAATCTTGCGCCACCCTTGCTCAAAACGACGATCATTTTTCTAATTTCATAGATAACAGAAGACTGAATTTTTTCTACATAACCCCCACCCTGACTTTAAAGCTGGATCCGTTTATCTTAGACTAATCTAATTCGATAACTCGTTTTTACTCCCCAAAACGCCCTTTAGGAGTTCAAATGATTTTCCGATTTCTTTTGGAAGTTTTCCTCCCAGTTGCTGCGTTCTCAAATTTGGCCACTTCATTGAACAATGTTGCCAGAAAATCGTGGTTTTACCCACAATCCATATAGAAAACGTCCTGGAAGATCGACTACCGGTTGAGGAAACCGGAAGCAGTTTCAGGGCAAAAAAATGTCCAATGCAAATTCTCAGTTTCATCAAACTCGCCCTTGAAAGTTCGCTAAAGCTGACACTCTGCCCATTTATGAAGCAAAGTTCTCTCTATCAGTTACCGTGACTTCCTCAAACTGGACCAATGATAATCACCAGCCGCATGTTGCTGTCATTATTGAGCCAATAAAATCACAAGAGCATAAAGCCGGTGATATCGAAAAAACGGCATTGACCTGGACCGGAGCCCCATAATGAGTTCCCAAGGATTACGGGCAATAATTAAAAGGCCAACGTATGTATTTAAGCGCATCTACGACCGTCATAATGATACGATTTGGTGACTTTAACATCGCGGCCGGGCAATTTATTGATATTGGTTTTCCGGAGTACAAAGCGGCCGCCATGTGGGTGGTGAGAGCCGCTCATTATCGTTAAACTTCGGAATTTCCACCGGACTTAATTGTCTTGCGATCGTGCACTGACCGCTCAAAAATAGGCACTCAAATTCGCCCACAGAAACCCAAAAATCGACGGCAAAACAGGACAGAAACTCGTCGGTTTGCAAACAACAGCCACCTACAAGAAGCGCCCCGAATCGTTAAGTCGAAACAACATCAAATGGCATTCAATCCCGGACCAGTCCTGCCATAATAACTCTCCTCCAATCGGCACGGCAGTACTTTGGTGGCCGTTCAGCTTATTTACGGCCGTTTTTTCCTACCGAGTAAAAATTCCGCAAAAAACACGACCGAGACCAAGATGGACAGTACTAATGTAAATTCTATTTCAACAATATCGACGATGGGTACTAGGAAGTCGTACCGAAGACGAATACGGCACGGTCAGGTGGACAATGGCGCTTTTTATGGAAACCCCAGTGGCGGCGCTATTTACACGCAAATCCAAGTCATCATGAAAGATGTTTTGATTGCCAAGCGTCCTCAGGCGTGCGCTGACTTTTTTACGCCAGAGAAAAAAACTTCCCAAATCTGTTAGAATAAGACTATAATCAAAATGCTTTTAATATTATCAACATAAGTTCTCCCATATATATTATCGACCACAGTGTACCACAAAGCCATATCGTCGTCGTCAAATCGCTGCTGATACAGAATCGTTCTCGTGTTCGGAAATCTACTTTTGTACTGTGATGTTTTTATCATTTATCAATATACTTTTACTCATACATTAAGAGTGTGTCCACTTTATTTCACCAACAGGTTATGGGCGCAGGACACCAAACACTCTAGAAATTGTGTAGACATTTCAGTGGTGCGTGAGTAAAGTGATAACTGCTGAAGAATAGTCGAAGTGCAAAATGGTGTCAGTGTCAGCAAAATCATCAGAGTGAGTAAAGTTCGACGGCACAAATTTT